CCAAAAAGGAGCCCTACAGGCCCTACAGGTCCTACAGGTCCTAAAGCCCACATCCGCGCAGCCCAAGCTCGAACAAGCTCGAAGAGCATCCGCGGGTCCAGGGCTCTTAGGCTAGCTTTCGGGTCTCAGGAAGTTCGGCGTTCGAATTCGAGGCTGCAGGAGGTTTAAGGCGGAGGGCTACAATCCCCCTGAGCGCCAGATCGGCTGAAGATCCGGGTGTATAACCTTCTGGAGAAGCCGCATTCCTCCACAGCGGCACTCGTTTGGCCACCTGCCAGTGTTCTGTGATGTTCTTTTTCTTCGGTTTGAGTTTGAGGTTGCAAAAGGTGAAGCCCTTCAACCTGAAAAGCTGACTACGCTGGACACCCTCATGTTTGAGCCACCTCAAGGCCAAGAGCCTGAAAGGCAAAGCCCCCCCCCCCCCCCCGGAATACTCCGCTCGACCCATCACTGCAAGCCGAGGTTCTACGCGGACTGTATCCTCGTCATACTGTGTGCTTCGGCGACACTCCGGTTTCTAGGGGGTCATGTGAAGGTTGGTATAAATCATGGGACCTTCTTATGCTTCTCTGTTGTGGTTTTTCTCCTGAATTCAAGGTCCGAAAAGGGCCCATCATTAAGCACAACACTCCACGCAATCAGGGCTCACTGTGAGAGAGAGAGAGAGAGATCAGCGTCAGGGTTCTGTCAACAGGCCTGCAACGAAACACGCAAGGTCTTATCAGACGCACTTAGTCCTTAGTCTACCATCAGTGCATAACCCAGGTGTTGTCAGCCTTGTCGCTGAGCCGTTGATGCTGGTCGTGTACCCAGACGCCCGGCAGTGGTTAGAATGGCTTGTCCCGGTCTTTCCAAGACAGCTCAAACCTCACCTCTCCAACACAACTCAGCCCGAACCAACCAAAACCCTAAACCTCATCCCAAGACATCCCCAAAACCCTGCACTTTCCACCTTAGCCTGAAACCTCAGGACGACGCGGGAGTCCAGACCCTGGTCAAGGCGATTGCGGGAGTTTGTGGGAGGGGGGAGGGGAGGAGTTCGGAGTAGTTTTCGGGGGTTTTCGGTTTGCCCGGGCACACCCGGAAGAAGCCCGACGCGCTCCCAGGCATCCGGGCTTGATGTGCAGCGTTTCGTGTCCAGTCTTCTTTGGGAGTTTGGGACCGCTGGGTCGCAGGGTCTTCGGGTTCGCCCTAAGCCCGAAGACCCGGCCCCAGATCGTGGAGTGGTTCTTCACCATTCTCTTCACTGTGGAGCTGCTGCTACGATGGGCCTCTCAGCTGGTGAACTTGGGCTCCAGCGGATCTCTGCTGAGGCTCTGTTTAGGGTACCGGCGCTTAAGGGGTTTCAGGATTTTCAGGGTTCGCGCGTTTGGGGGCAACAAAAGGGTGTGAGGCTTTCAGGGCCTTCCGGGGTGCTTTACCTGAGCAGAGTCCAGGGTGTCACCGCTTCACGGCTCTGTTGGAGAACTCGCCTCCGCCCAGCCGAGCACGTGCCGCAACTGAGGCCGTCTGCACGGTGGAGGGATCGCTGACATACACCACCTTCTGGAAACAGCCAGGCAGATCACCCCCCCAAACCCTTCTTCCGCTCTCAGCCTGCAAAGACAAATGCGCATTGCTGAAACTCTTGGTCATGCGAATAGGAATGCTAATACAAACATTAGGTCGAAACACTAATTACGAATGCGTAAGAATCCGCCTTTCCTGAAGGTTTTGAGCCTGAATCCTTGACTGGAGTTCGGTGGCCCTTGCCGACTTGAGGGGTTTAGGGTTTAGGGATTAGGGTTGGGTTTAGGGCCTGAATGGGTCTAAGTTTGCGGATTGAGCGTGGCGCATCATGCCGTGAGCAGGTCGAATTGCCGATTTGATTGCGCCCCCTGGCTGAACGAGGGCCCGGGTGGATGTTGGCTCGGCAGACCCCGTTTTACCTCCCCAAGGAAGCTGCAACAGGTCCCCATGAATCTCGACGGTCCTCTTCACACCCATCCAAACCGCAACCTGAGAGCCTTAGCCTTAAGTACCAAGACGGGCTTCCCAGAAACTTGCAAGCCAGACCAAGCTGAAGTGTCTGCCAAGGATTTTGCCGAGCTACCTTGAGGCGCTTCGAACGGGGCGGAACGATCCTGGGGGGGTGGATTGTCCTTCGTGTTGCGCGGAGCCCCGAAGCCTTGAAGCCACCGCAGCCCTCTCCCAAGCCCGGCGGAAGCCCCTGCCCGACATGTGGCTTTCAGATGCTTTCAGGCTTACAGTTCGGAAGCTTAGGGCTTCTTTCTCTGCATCCCAAAAAAAGAAGACAGGGAGAGCTGCAAGCCTTTTTTTGACGACCTTGAAAGCTGCTCCCAGCTGATCATCAACATCAACTCCTCGGAGTTCCGGCTGATGCGCGTGGCGAGGTGGGTTGGGGGCCTCCGCGGGGGGGGGGGGGGGGGGGGGTCTTCAGAAGGTTTCAGGTGTAAGAGGGCTCAGAGCTGCTGGGTTCCATGTTGACAAGCCGGACCCTATTTGCTTGGTGGTAGGGTTGAGTCCAAATGGGTTGGTAACGACCTTCTGGGGCTAAGGCCTACTCCTAAGCCCACCTCGCGCCTGCCAGGCTCTCTCGCCTGGCGCGGCTGCAGCGGTTCTGCCAGCAGGCGGGCTCGGGATGAAGGTGGTCGCTTAGCTGTGGGGCATTGTGACAGCTTAGCCCAGCTCCCGTCCTGTGCGCGCTTCTTACGCGCCTGGGGTTAAGCTCTACAAGGCCTTTAGAGCTCAGGGCTTCGCGTAGCCCTACCGAACTACCGCATAAAGAGAGCTGTTGCAGGCGGCCCCTATCGCGATGGTTCTGGTGGTGATCTGGGGCATCTACCTGCAGCACTGAGGCGGGCACTGTGAGCACGGGCTATTTGCAGCAGCCCCAACAGCCCTGAGGCTGAGTTTGTGCAAGGCTCTCAACCAGACAATGAAACTCATCCTAGAATCCAGAAGCCTTCAGCTGCTCCCCAATCCACGACGTTGTCTAAGCTGGAGAACCGTGGAGAACCCACCCAAACCCGAACCGCCCAACCTCCTAAACCCCCCAACTGTCAACTCTCCGTGTGGGAAGGACGATGCCTTCGCCGGACAAGATCGTCTGAAAAGGCAAAGGTGGGTGCGGCGAGGAAGGCGAGGCGTCTACCAAGCGTTGTCAGGTTCTGGTGGTGCAAACATTAGCTCAGGGTTGGGGACCCTACATCCTTAAACCCTGGAGTCAAACCCTGGAGTCAAACTGTCCTCTGGAGGCTTGCTATTTCCGCGTGTTAACAGCTCTCAGGTTTTAGGAGATGTTAAGAACATCATTCAGACATTTGGTGTCTACATTCGGTGTGTGGGATTCAGGGGCCTCGCGGCCTCCACGCTCGAAGAACGAGTTGCTTCGCATCGACCCGCAAAGTTTCCGCATTTCGCGCAGAGCCAAGTCTTGGAACCCAAGTTGTGCATTTTTGCGCTGGCCTGCGGCAGCCTCTGCCCTCGGCCTTGAGTGATGCCTCCCCGTCCAGGTGCGGTCTCAATTCTGAACTTGCAGGAAGCGCTTCTACCAAGAATTCGTTTTGTCATGTCTTTGGAGGTAGTGAGGTCGTGCAAGTCTAATCTGTATTCGGGCCGGACGAAGGACGAAGGGAGTGAGGCACCCTTGAAAGGGCGAAGTGGAGGTACTGAAAAGCAGGCGCACCACTCAGCTTCTGCTGCCTCCTGAAAGGAGCAGCGGGCCCTCAAGGGGCTTTTTAAAGGTGCCCACGGGAGCAGTCGGCATGTCTAGGTTGAGCTAAGGTTTCGGGATGTTTCGGGTGTCTGGCTGACTGCTCCATCATGCAAGCCAATTCATGACGGTGCGATTGATTCGTTAGGGGGCAATTCCGGGTTGCGAGGTCAGGGTTTCGGCCCTGAACCTTGCAACCCTGCACCCTTCACCCTCAACCCTCAACCCTCTTGAAGACCTCAAGAAGCCCCCAGGAGTTTGATGGTCGATGCGTTTCGTTATTATTGGCAAAAGCAGATGTTTCGCGCGAACCAGGCAGGATGTTGCCACCCCTGAGCCTCAGAAGCGTGGAACATTCTAGAGTATCCTTAGATGTCCTTCGAAATTACGTGTTTTGCTTCTAGAACACTAAGGTTGTATGTTTTCAGGTGTTAAGGGGGCGTATGGCCCTGAGTGCCGTTTCAGAATGTCAATCTCGATCAGGTTGCTGCGCTACTCCAACCCTTTCTCTTGCCCACCCGCAGTTCGGGAAGCCGAGCCGAGCTACATGATCGTAGCACGATAAACCCTAAGGGAACCCCCTATGCGCCGGGATTCTGGACCCTGCCCTCTACCTCAGGGCTTCAAGCCCCGAAGTCTTTGACTCCAAATGCCTCGCCATCCCTAGTCCCAAGCGCTTCAGATGATTTTTTGGTTTTTGCAGCCCGGGTTTCAGGAACGCGTTTCAGAAACGCTTTTTATCCGAGAACCCGCAGGTGACCATCCTCGCCTGCTTCGCCGGGCTGCTCAGGGCCCGGGTGGCTCTGGCAGGACGCGGCTGCAGGTGCCGGGAGGGGGGTGTCTTCGGGGGAGGAGGGGTGGTGAGGGCGGGTTCCCGAATTCCCTGAGGTTCTCAAGATTCCTTGTACGTTAGGAAGCCGGAGCTAGGCTAGCCAGGACTTCAGTTCCCACCACTTCCCCCGTGATCACCACAGCAACGTGTGTATGACTTTGCTGGGTCTGAAACGTGCGCGCGGCCGCCTCGGCTCCCAAGACTTGGCGTGAACCCTTCGCTTCTGAGAGCCTCCTTGGGAAGCCCCTCTGAGAGGTCTCGAGGTCGGCCGCTTGGGCGCAGGAATAGGTGAGTAGTGCAGTTGCAAGAAGCCCCCCCTCCCCAGCCCCCGAAACGACTTCTCACGGGTTTTTGTGGGGGATTTGGTTGGGGGATCCCGGTGAGGTTGGAAGGTGGGCCTCGACGCTCGCATCCTGTTCCAAGGGGGCGTGTTTCTTAGGCTCAACTAAGGCCATGGCCTCCGCCTCTACGGCGGCGTTGCTGGAGTCCTTCCAGGCTTTTGCAGGCTCTTTGTGCAGAGGGGTTTTGGGGGAGGGCGAGGTTTCGGCAGGAAAGCCAAACCCTGTGCAGTATCCCACAGGACCTCCCACAGGACCGCAAAAAGCATCTGCAGGTTTCCCCATGAATTCTGTGGCATTCTGTGGTCTGCACAATCCCTGTTCTGCCACAGCCCTTCGACTTCCCGTTGCAAGCTTGAAGACCAACCTACTCCAGGTTCTGGGGGCCAAGCCCCGAAGGAACTCAGAACATAATACGATATACCAGTACCAGTGCAAGGGATTGCAAGGCCCAGGGTATTTGTAAGAGTTTGATTTCTGTCTTCCAGGTGGTACTGAGATGGATGGCCGGACCTGGGTGAAGTGCCTCAAGGAGCCGGGGCACGATTCAAGAGCGTCCTCCCAACCCGCCCTGACAACTCCGTCCTGAGCCGATGCAGGATTCCATGCTCCTCGACGAGGACTTCACCACGGTGGACGCGGATCTCATCTTCGCGCGTGTGAAGAGCAGGCCGAGATCTTCGATGCGCATTCCCCCCCCCCCGCCACCACCCTCCACCCTCAAGTCTGGGAGCTCCCGAAAAGATTACCCTCGGCTGGCAGGTAGCGGACGTATCCTAAGCCCAAACTCTAGGCCCCCAAACTGACGCCATGATGAGACCTGAGCCCCCAGAAACCTCGCTCTAAGCCATTCGAAGCCCTCAACTCCAACACGAGGGGGACCCGCAAGATCGACTACCCCACCTTCCGGCGGGCGCTGAGCGAGGCAGGGTTTTTCCGGCAGCGTTTGGCGCTACAAGTTTAGGGAGTTGCTCAGACTTTGGAATTCTGAGATCTTTTGGAGCTCAGGATTGTGTTGTTTCTGGATGCGGGACATTCGACGCTGCGGGATTTGGGTTCAGAGCTGGGCTTGCGAAGTGTTTCTGTGGGACGATATACGCAGTGGGCAGGGGGCTGTAGCCGAGTTGACGCGCCGCGCTATGAGCGCGCCCACTCGCGCCCTCCTGACGCCTCGAGCAGCAAACTTCCAAGTTTCAGGAAACCCATGGAAACCCTAAACCACGATGCGAAGAGCCCCTGCAAGAGCCGTGCTGAGGTGGCCAAGAAGTGGCAGATGTCTCAGGAACAGGTCGGGGGGAATGCTGCACAAGCGTCTTCGGGTTGAGGCTTTAAAGTGGGCACAAGCCCCCCAGATGGAAGGTCCACGTTTACCAGAAGCATCTTCCAGCAATCGAGTGGGATGGCCTGCTAGCAAAACAGCATAGGGACAGCTCTGAACCGACCCACCATTCTGCCCCTCGCCCCCTGTCCCGCTCTCCCGCTCTCCCGCTCTCACGCCCCGTCTCAGACGGTATAGCTTTCAAGAGGGGGCCTCCCCGACTGCAGGTGGAAGACATCATCTGCCTGGCGGCGGGACCCCACTACGAGAACCAGATCCAGGCTGGGACGGGGCGCTGCGGCTGTCATGCCCTCACCGCCCTCTTCAGCCCCTTTCATAAGTAATAAGCCCACACTTATTGGCGTCCTTCCAGCGCCCTCTCAGGCGCCCGAGCCCGGCATCGATGACCCGGCGGGTCCGCAGCGCTTCTACTACGATATGACGCTGTACACAGGCGCGAGCTGCGAAGCAGGTTTACAAGTAAGCAGGTTTACAAGTTTGAAAGGTTCCGGGAGTAAGCTCTGAGGGTTGGGAGGCGTTCGGGCTTCTTGGGAATCCATATTGGTGGCATGTCTGGGCGTCTTACCTCCTAGATGATTTGCCAAAAAGACCTGTCACCCTGCATCTCAAACAGTCCCTTTTGGGTAGGGCCCTCATGGTAGACGAGGTCCCGAAATGAGACCCTAAATCCCCAACCGCCAAACCCCCCAAATTGCGAAAACGCGAAGCCCTAAACCAAACCCCACAACCTCCTAAAGCCCTTAAAGCCCCTGAAGCCCCCAAACCCCCCAAAAGCTGTGTAGGCACACACAAGTACGGCGGCCCGAGCCTTGTGGGGAACGGCATCGTGGAGGGTGCCCCGGTGAACTTCCAGGCGACGAGACCCGGGGGGTTTAAGGGTTCAAGGGGTTGAGTCGGTTTGAGCGCCTTGGCGTGTAGGGCTTAGGGTTGTAGTAGAGTGTAGGGTTTAGGGTTTCGAGTCGGCTCAGGGTTTACGGCTTCAAGGATTCGAGGGGTTTAAGGATGTTTAAGGACTGCAGAGTTGGGGTTCAAAGGTTTGGGGTTTCGGGTTCCTTTGAAGGGGCTTGTGGAGGGCTTTGTTTCGGGGTTAGGCCGATGGTTTTTAAGGTCTTTGGGTTTTGGGCTTCAAGGCTTGAAGGTTTCAAGGCTTAGGGTTGCGGGGCCCCTTTTCGCCTGAGCTGAGGGCTCACGAGTGGAAGGGGGAAAGTTGGTTTTGTCTTTGAGGGACCTGTGTCCCTGTGGGGGGGGGGGGAGTGCATTCTTTCATGAGGCCTCCTCCCCTCCCGCCTCTCCCCCACGCCCTAAACCCTATAGACCCTTGAACCGCAAAGCAACCCATGGTGACCGCTCAGGAACATGTGAATCGGGACCGGGACAACGAGGCCGGGCGGAACCCTTTCAGAAGAAGCCCTCAGCCCGAAGCTTCCAGAGAGGAGCGGCTCCTTAAGTGTTGGCTTTGTTTTTTAAAGAAGCCCCGGGAGCATCCTTTAAAGGCCCTCAAAGAATCCCAAAGAACGACCCCGAAAAAAAGGACGTCCCCCCCCCCCTCTTTTCAGACGAAGAGCCTCGAGGTCGCTGCCTCCGCAGACCGCCGCCGCCGCGCGGTGCTGGGAGCCGAGGCTGGCGAGGCCGCGGAAAAGGGGTGAAAAGGGGTTTCAGGGGGGAGGGGGCGGAGGATGAAGGCCGCCCACGGGATGTTTGAGACTCTTGCTTTTGTTTTCCTGGGTTTCCTAGCGTTCCCTCGCTGACCCCTGTCCCTGTTCTGAACCCCCAACTCCTAGTCCTGGTCCCTAAGCCCTCATAAGCCCAAAACCTTAATCCCAACCACACCTAAGCCCTGAGCCTCAGTTTCAGCCCCCAAAAGCCTAAAACCTGAAATGTAAGCTGCAATGCCCGAGCCTTAGGGGGGCACCTCCATCCCAACAAGCCGACGCCCCACCAAAAGTCCTGGGGCGAGGAGATGCCCCGGCTGCTCGGCAAACCTCGCTCGCCACTGGCCCAGCGCCGGGAGATACCGAAGGCGGGGCCGAAAAGTTCCCAAGGCTCGGCTTAGGCTGTACTGGTAGGGCCTTAGTAGGGCACGCTTGGAACACGTAAGCCCTCTTGCCCCTCTCCATCCCAGACCCGGAACCCCTAAACCGTGAACCGTAAACCTACCGTAAACCGTAAACCGTAAACCGTAAACCGTAAACCGTAAACCGTAAACCGTAAACCGTAAACCGTAAACCGTAAACCGTAAACCGTAAACCCTGCCCCTAAATCCTGAACCCCAGGCCCTGAGTCACTAAGTCCTCGTATCCAGGGCCGCCGCCCAGTAGCGCAGCTGAAGGGGCCGGAGCGCTTCTTCTACGATAAGGCCAGCTACACAGGCCGGCTCAGGGGTTCAGGCAGAGTTTGAGGCTGCTTGGGGGTTTCGGCGTTTAGGGTTCAGGGCTTTCATGTTCACTTCTCATGAATAACCCCCCCCGCTTCCCCGTTTGATTGATTCAATCCGACCGAAAAAATTGAGTCTTTAAAGGGCTTGTTTGGGGGGGGTGGGGCTGGTTTTAAACGGGCTGGCCTCTTCTACAAAGGGGAAGCCTGAAACCAGATCCCGGTAATTTCAGGGTGATACGAGATTTGCGCATTGCATGGGCCCTTTGGCAGGGCTCTGGGTCCCAAGGCACAACCCCTTCACGGTTTGTGGCTTCGGGCCGACGACTTCGGGCTGCAGATCATCTGGGGGGATCGCTCTGCGTTGCCCCGTTGATAGCACTGGCACCTCTTGGAAAAAGCTTCCCGGGGAACTCCTCTCATCTAGGGTCGTTCTAAACCTTGTAAGTTCCAAAGTCGGACGCTGCCGCTCCAATGGTCTAACACTCAGTGAACCATAAACCCCAGGCCCCAATTAGGATCCCAAATGAGGGAATTCAGCCCGATGTAAGCCCTAAACCCTCAACAACTTTAGGCCCCTAACCCACACCTTGAAGCTTCAAAACCGTAAAGACTTCGTGTAACCCTGTGTAACCCCTAGCCCTTGTTAAAGAGCTTCAAGACCAAGAGAAGCAGAGCGCGAGGCACCCACAAGCATGGCGGCCCGTCGGTTCACGGCAACGGCCTCCCGAAGCAGGGCTACGAGGACCTCAGCCACCCGGCCCTTCTTTTTTTTTTGTGGGGTTTAGGGGGGTTTAGTGGGGTTTAATGGGGTTTAGGGCATTCTGAGCCTTAGCTGGGGGCGAACATCGGTGTTATTTGCGGTTTATCCAGGGGGTTACTTCAGCCCTCGATTCTCCTGTAGGGCTTAGCTGCTCAACTCCCAAAAAGCCCTCGGCCCAGGTGAGCTGGTCCGTCGGGATCACGCCCTGGGCTCAGCTCAAAAGGGGTTCATCCTGTATCCTGCAGCCGAGGCCCAGCCTCACTAGCCCTAAACTGGCGCATCAAGATGCCCTGCAAAGGCCCCGAGCCCCACCCACGCAGGTCCAGGACGACGAACTCCACCGGCAACAGCGTCTGCATGGCGGATACATGCAGGCTAGCCCCGAAATCCTACACCCAAAGATTTTGAGGGGATCAAGCGCCTAGGGAGTACAGGGTGGCCTGGCTCAATCGTGATGGCAGTTTAGGTTGAGTGCCGCTTGTGCCGAATGGTTCTGATTTGAAGCTGTGCTTGTGGCTGTGTGCTCAGTTGCAGAGACGTTCTGAAATGGTTTGGGGTTTCGTGTCGGCATTTGTCGGGGCGTCGGGCACCACATGATTCGCGACTCTTGCGTGCACGGACCCTGTTTTGCAGTCAGTAGCTGCCACTCCGGGCCACTCAGCCTGATCGAGTACTTGCTTCTCTAGTCTAGTTCGAAACCGTGACCCTGTTCTATCTCCCAAGCCCTATTCGGAAAGCCGGTGTGCAAGCTGTGTTGCAAACAAGGCCGCCGCCGTTGAAGGTTCATGGGTAGCTATGGAAGCAGGGTTATAAGTACCTTCATCTGGGTCAGAATGACAACATAGGTTGCCGCATCCTCGTCATAGCGCCCTCGGCAACTACCTATGGGCCTTCAAGTAGCAGCATAGAACTTTTTAAGAGCCCCATGGTCTTAAAAGTTGCTCCGCCCCTAGTTTTCCCGTGAGAGTCAAGAAGCTTCAGGACGAGTACGGCAACGCCATCCCTGTGGCGGGAGTGCCCTGGCAGCAAGGTTCAAAGTCCCGGGGCTCAGGAGCGCGTCGGTATTGGGAAATCGACGCGGGCCCTCTTTCATCCTCGGTCGGTGTAGGGGTTAAGAGGGTTGGATTTGGGGGTTTCAGTGGGGTCCCCTCAAGCCCCATAAAACTCAGAAGGCCCCAAGCCACAAGCCCCCTGAGCTGAAGAAGCCCAAAGCCATAAGAATCCCGAGGCCCTAAACCCTAAATCAGGAGCCCTAAGTCCTCAGAAGCCCCCCAGAAAGAGCCGTGATGACCCTAATAACTCAGCCCTAAAAAAGAGACCCTAAGTGCCGCTGAAAGGATGCCTGCGTCAACCAGGGCTCCAGGCAGCCAAGGGGGGGGCAGGGGGGGGCTTTTTAGGTTTTTTTTTTTTTTTTGGGGGGGGGGGGCGGGGCTTCAAAGGGGGCGTTGAGGCTTTTGAGGCCATGTAAGCGGTTGTAGGTAGGTGGCGGTTGTAGGGAGGAACACCTGCGCAGATGGATGAACATCATTGCCGAAAAGCAGGCCTGAACATGTAAACAACCTCGAGCTTGTTCTTGAAGCCTCGTCACACGGGCACTGAACGTGACAGACCCTCCCAGACCAGAGCCCGCCCAAACGCAAAAGCGAGATTCTCATGCACTGTGACCCAAGTGCCTCCCCCCTCCTAAACTCAAAAGCCCGAGAAGCCTCATAAGCCCGAAAACTCCGCGTAATCGCTATCATGATGAGCCCTTTCGACCCTGACCGGCCCCACAGGATAAAAAAAAGTAACCCTTCCCCAGGGCCGCAGCGCACTCCGCCTCCGCGGAGCTGCCCACGCTGCTCGGCTCCCCGCGGCGGCGGGGCGCCGCCTCGCCGACGCAGCTCCAGCAGGTGGAGGCGCCAATAACCTTAAGGAGCTCAAGCAGGGAAATGGGCTGTGGGACCCGATAGGTAAGGGTCAGGGTCTGAGGGGCCCTTGGGTATACTTTGTATTTTCCCTCAGTGGGTTTCGGAGGTCGACTCCTAACCTAGTTGCGGTTTTCAGGTCAGTCGTGGTTGGGGTTGAGGTGGCCAGTGCTTCGAGAAACATGAAACTACATGAAACTTGTGCAAAGGGCAGCTGATGCAGGGGCCCAACTGATCAACCCTAGACCCGAGGCAAGGGTCCCAAGACCCTAAACCCCATAAATCCCATCAACTCAATAAATATGACCCCTATGATCCCTGTAAACCCGACAAACCCTATAAAGCCTACTAGCCCTACTAACCTGAGCGCGGACGCAGGTCTCCGTCAAGCAGGCGCCGCAGTACGAGGCCTGGCCGATGCCCTCGGCGCAGCCGGCGGAGCCGACGGAAGTTTGGGTTTAGTTTAGGGCTTATCAGCATATCGGGCCTGAGGTTTGTGGTTTAAAGGGTTTAGGGTTTAGGGCTTGTGTGTGTATGTGTGTATGTGTGTATTTTTTGTTAGGGACTAAAGGTTTACCCATAAGCCCTGGAAACCCTAAACCGCCACGGCGGAGGATGTGCAAGCAGAGGTCCTCATCCCCCAGTCGGAACGTCGGTGTAGAATCGGAGCTTTTGGCGTGAAGAATCGCAATGTGGATCCTTAAGCCCTTAGCGTAAACTCTAAGCCCTCGACCCTCAAACCCCAAGTGGCTCTCCTTAACTTGTTGCATGCATCTTAGTTAGATCGCCCTCCGCGTTTCAAAGAGAGCTCAGGAAACCCAATTGCTCCCCTCTACGGCCCTTAAACCATGGTAAGCCCCAAGCCCAAGCCTAAAGTCTTGAAAGCCCTGAACCAAGACCCTAAACCCTTAAGGGGCAAAATTGCCAGGTGGCTCACAAGGTCTACCGCACAGAGAGCACGGGCTGGAGCGCCTCGGTGCCAGGCCGGGTCTGAGCCGCTTCTGCCCGTTTGTACTATGTGTGTGCCGTGTAGATGTGTGCATGTAGGTTTAAGATTCCCAGAATAGGGGTGCTCCCAATATCACCCAAAATTCGATGGTCCTCGTTGTAGGTTTCCCCGAAAAGGGCACCCCCTAATTTTCGGAGCCTCCCCCCACACTTGTAAAACTACCCATGAACCTTAGCACCAAATCGTCTGCCTTGGCCCCCGAGACGTGAAAGACTTGTTGTTGCCTTGGATCGCCATGCGCAGGTGTTCCGGGCACGGTGATCTCCCCGCAGGTGACCCCACAGGCGAGGGGTTTGGGTTTCTCTCTGTCTCTCCGTCTGCTCCATCTTTTGCTCTGTTTCTTTCTGTCGGGAGTCTTGCTGCTATCTCACTCTCTCTTCAACGCCTTGGATGCGCCCCGAGCGTGTCCTTCACCGCAGGCGGCGTGCACGTGCCGTGCCCATGAATTCAAGCCTATAGGGCCTAGCGAGGGAAGCGTCGCATGCGAACCGGTGAAGGTGCAGTACCGCGCAACCGCGCAGCAGCCTGTTGCCAGGCACGGTGGTGCTCTAAGTGGGGCTACTGGCCTCTTGCGGAGTCTAAGGGTCCATGCCCTCTGACGGGCTTCTATTGAGGCTTAGGAAGTGGTGCTTGATTCGCTGTTGATGTTTTTTTTGCTGGCCTGTTCTGTTCACTGGGTTTAGTCTTCATTACAGGGTTTTCGGGTTTGGGTGCTCAAGCCGGGGCAATGACGCAACGAACCACTCCTCGCGTGGTCTTGGGAAGGCGTACGGTTAATCTAAAGCCTTGAACCTTTAAATGCCGTCTTGGAACATCTCCAAGCACACTCACCATCTTAACACCATCTTGAGCCAGAACTTGAGCCACCTTAAACCGTCTTCAGCCCCTGTCCCCTGGCTTCATTCAGGACGGTGCAGACTTTCCCGACGGCGAGCCCCGCCTGGTACTCCGCAGGCTACATGCAGGCCCCTCGGATGTGCTTAAGAAAGGGACCTGTTTTATTTGGAATTGATGCGAGTGAGAGTTTGTCGATGTCGATGTGGCATGGGTGCTTGACATGTGCAGTTCGTTTGTATCATTAGCATATTTCTTCAGGTGCATGTGTATCACGCAACTCAGGCTGGTGCGGAGTTCATGTCATGTTGGTGATGCTTAGGCTCCAATTCCTTAACCCTAAGTTGCCGATTCACAGCCCGTTTTAGCTCTGCCCCGTAAGCCCCCGATTTTTGTCCCTATCCTTACGCCAGAGTGCCACATGAATCTTTGCTGCACTGAGCCCCAGTAGACTCAGTAGCTATGAGCGCGGTCATAGGGGATGCCCTTCGGCCAGGTGCCCAACGTGCATATGCCGATGCCGATGACCACGGCGATGAGGTGAGCTTCAGCGAAGAAAGTTGCATCCTTAAAGCTTGTGATGCACGGAATTATGTGCTCAAGCACAATGTGGATGAATGCTTGGAGCCTCCATCTGACCATCTTCTGCTGGAAGCGGCTACTCGCAAAATCATCGGCATCCTGTTGCCGAGCCAGAGATGGGTGCTTAGCAATATGTAGACCATGGGCACTCACCTCTTTGGGTCTCTTGGGGCGCTCTTTGCTTATCTGAGTGGCACGGCATGTACGGAGTGGGAGACGGTAGGCTTCACATTGTTGAGCAGCGAAGCCAACCGGTGTATGTCTGGGTGCTGGTTTTCCACTGTCTCCCCCTTCCCCGTGCACTGACCAAACTGGATGCGGCCAGAGGGGGCTGTTCAGATGTTTTTTTGCGGTCCCGGAAGGCTGAGACATGGCAGCTCTTTCGGCTGGGAAGCCAGAGACGCTAAAGAAAGCTCACGTTGTGAACCCCGAACAGCCCGAATCGCTTTGTCCTAGTATTACAACCCTTAAGTGTGCGCAAGAGCACCTCATATATGTCAAAGGTGTACCGAGAAGGTACCTGTTTTTGATGCCTGCTGTAGTGGCTCTGGCTTTCCGCGTCCGTGCACCCCTCTGAGCCCGTGGCCACCGGAGACCAAAAGCCCCCGAACGCCCCCGAAATCCTCGATGCCTCAAAGAAATACCCGAGAGCCACTCAGTGCCACTAAGTCCCAGCCAACCCCAAACCCAAAACCCTCCACTGAGTCGAGGGCTTCCCCCGTGGCCAGGGCATTGCTCACTGCAGCAATGTGCATCTTGTATTATTGAGGCGCTTTCGGTCGCAGGGCCACAATTGGGAAGGGTAGCCAGTATGTACATAGAAAGCTAGAGTGGATGGATAGAAGGCGTCAATCATAAGGGAGCCTTGGTTTCTCCCAGGCAGCATGATACTTGTGCCGTTAGATCCTGTCATGGTGCCGTGAAGGTGGCCCAGCTACTGCTTATCGTTGGTTAATTAAAAGGCCCGTCCCACACGTGGATCGAGCCGGTGTACTGCTGAGGATGAAGGGAGCAGGTGGTACGATTGCGGCCTCGCAAAGCGGTAGCTACCCCCAACCTCCCATCTATCAGGATCTACGACTTAAGAACCTTAAAATTTGTCACTTGGCAGACTAGAGCACTCGGGATCCCTCGGAAGCGGTGGCCTTAGGTCGTAGTTCGGATGTAGCTGGTACGGGCTTTTCTCGGGGCGCGTAGGGTTCGTAAGCCCGAACCTAAGAGGGTTTGGGGTTGAGGGGCTAAAGTTTAGGGTTGGACAGCCGCTCCCCCCTCACAAGCGCAAATGAGCCCAACCCCGAAGGAGAAAAGCAAGGGCTCTCCCGGTGTTTCTTGGCGGGGGCTTTGCCTTCAGACCCAAAATCCGAAAACACCTGAAACCCAAAGCCCGGAAAGCCTAAAACCCTAAAACACTGAACTAGACCCCCAAAACGCTAAATCCTAGAACTGCTTTTTCAGGTTTTCTGGGTGGTCCACTACGATGGGGTCCCAAGCCTACAAGGGTTTTGGTTTAGGGTTCCCTCAGACCTTTCAGGGTTTACTGACTCAACGTCGGAACCCTAAATCTTTGAACCCCAGGCTTCCCAAACCCTAATCTTTCTTGAGCTTGGTCCCCTAGATTACAGACTTTGTGCCGGTATCCTTGTGTCCGTGGCCCAGGGCCTGACCAAAGCCAACTAAGCCCGGAGCCCTTTTAACCCCCCAAAGCCCCCCAAAAGCCTACGAGCCGACAAGCGCAGCAAACCTTAAACCGGGAACCCCAGTAGCCCAGCCAGCCCTCCCTACTCCAGGACGGCGCGCGCGGCGCCGCTGATCTCAGTGCTTTGGCGCCTGGGGCGCATCCTTTATGTAGTGGGGCTAGTTTAGGGCTGTAGGGACGTTGTGGTGTTTTTTGGCTTGTAGGCCGCAGAGTTTAGGGTTCCGAGTTTCAAGGAGTTGAGGGTTGCGGAATCATCTTCAACCGCACTGCCAGTCCAAAAACCAAAGACCCGTTTTAGCGTCGTGGGCTTTTGGGGGGTCCTAAAGACCCCCATCCCTGAAACTCGCCCAAAAGCGATCTTGCCAATTTGAGCCCCATGGGGTCTCTCCGTGAGGTTGGGGCTTCCGGCCGCGTTTCTCTTCGGCTTTCACTTGACCTACCAGGCATCGGTGTGTGCCATGTTACAAAGGGCGACTCTTCAGGGCTTGTCAGTGCTTGCGTTCCAGGGGTTCAAGCTTTAGGGTAATGCAGGGTTTCGGCGACAACGCTCGCCACAGCACCTACATGGCAGGGTGTAGCAGGGTGACCTCAAAAAGGGTCGATCCCAGGTTTGGGGGCTACTGTGGACCCTGAGCTGCGAGGCGTAAACCCCGCGTTACAATTAGTAACAGTATTTTTAGTATCTCTAAATGTTCTTTAGAGTCGTAACATCGGTTGTTTCTTCAGTACATGAAACTTTTTCGAAATTTTGTTTGATTTATCATATTTGTGGAAATTGAATTGTAATTAGTATTTAACGATTAGAAATAGTCAGAAAACTCCACTTGCAAACATATCGTATAAATGTAGCTATCTATCTATCTATCTATCTATCTATCTATATGCACACATTGTTTTTGATACAAAAACGTGTCAAATAGTATTCTTATTAATACAAAATTTTTGTTCATCACTTTAATATGTCAGGCTTGATTTAGTTTCTATTTAATCAGTCTGAATGAACAAAATGTGTTACAGAAGATTAACCATATACATGATAATTCTGCAATAGGCAATTTTCCAATAAAAGCCTTAGAAGATATTCTAAAATAGGTTATTGACAAATACAAAATTAGATTGAACCAATCATATCAGATGATTTGTATGATTTTATTCTAGAACATATAAATACAATGAGTAAAATGGTATAGGTACTTATGAAAATAATAAAGAAGTAGGAATTCTTGATGGCGAAATATGTGCTGGATCGACCATATTCATTTTGTGAATCCTCATAAAATGTATATCAAAAAGTTGAAGTATCAGATGATAATCAAAATTTAAGCCTGTTCAAGATATATTTCCAGATTACTGTAATAGATGGGTTGGCTGTGACGACAGGGTATGGTAGGTTTCACTTCCGGCGGATGATTTCGTCGAGCTCAAGCGATTCCGGATGTTAAAAAAGTTACCCCAACTTGGGTGGTGTCGTAAGCATAGAAACGGTTTCGTACGATGGCCAGCGCAGCTTAAGTTCCTAACAGCGGCAAAAGTTTGAGCACCTTTCGGGTTGAAGGGCTCCAGCCGGGTTTTGTTTTGCGCTTTGTCCTTGGGGGGACAAACCAGGAGTTTTCTTGTGTTCTTGTGGTTTGAGTGGGGATCAGGGCTTCTGGGGGTCTGGATATTTGGTTTGAAGGGGTTTAGCGATGCTTAGTTTAGGGAGGTCTTGGGGAGGTTTAGGGTTCGTGGGACATTGTGCGCGCCCAAGCGGCCCCTCGCTTCCAGTATCGTGCCCATGCCATGCCATGAGATAAAACCTCGAACCCTTATCATCATTGGGCCGTAGGCTACGCCCTACACCCCTGAAACGCTCTCCACCTCCCCCCCAAACGCCCAAGCGTGGCTTTCAGACGCGGAGGTCTTTGTCCTCCATGCCGACGAGCTGTTAGCCTCCCTTGGCCTCGGTCTCCTGGGTGGGGAGGACTGGTCAGGGTATTCTTGGGCACCGGTTGAAGCCGAGACCGAACGACACTGGCATTTTGCAGGCTGATTTTCCGGTGTAGATTCGAGGAAATGCGAACCCTTTGATGGGGCTTGCTAAGATCGAGCTTCGTTCTGTCATGTTTTGCTATGCCGCCCGGCAGGCTCTGCTGTTTGGACTTTACGGTCTCGCTGTGGCCAACGATGCTACGGAGCCTTAGGGTTGCAGGGTTTCGGATAAGGGTGCAAGCATAGAAGTTGCGAAGGCAGGAGAATCCAGATTCAGATGTAGGGTGCGGAACTGGGGCTTTGGCTTTGGGCTTCTCACAGTTCAGGGCTTGGGATTCTCTGCCCCGTCAAAAAAAAGTTGCCCTACGCAGAAGAGCAACAAACCCTACACCCCTGAACTAAAACACCCTCAACCCTAAACAACCCCCCTTCAGGAGCTCTTGCCAGGTCCGAATTCACAGGTCTAACTTGCAGCGGGCTTGAGACCTGCCAGGGTTTCTTGGGGTCGCTTCAGGCTTGTGGGCCTCTGAACCTGAAGCCGCTTTGTGCACTTTGCAGTTGCTCCTTTTTCGGGGGGCCGTTGCTTTTGTTGGGGATTCACCGCGAAGCTGAAGCGGAATGTGCTAGAAGAGACTCCCCACAGGGCCCAGAATGCAGACCCTTTTTTGGGGAGCTTGGTACTGGTAACTCAAAAGTCCGGGTGTAACTGGGAGGACACCTCTTTGGGGGCAGTCATCAGCTTACGTTTTACTCAGCATCGAAGCCTTAGATAGGCGACTGCTCAGGGTTTGGCCGGGTTTAGGGTTTACGCTGGTCATTTTGCCCTTGGCCGCTCGGCTCAGCGTGTCACATGCAAAGACATGGCGGTTTATGAGAGATCAGAGCCAGGCTTAGAGTCTTGGATGGACCCTGTACGCCCTAGACCTCCCAGCCCAAAGCTTCGCACCCCGACTTGCAGATGCCTTCAGAGAGGTAGGTTCTGGGGTTGAGGGTGAAGAAGCTGGTGTGGCTGTTGTTTCTGGGAATTTAGGGGGTTTCGGAATCTTTGAGCTTCTAAGGCTGCGCTCGAGGCGCCTTTAACATTTCGAGGCTTTAAAAGCCTCGGCTTTGCCTGTCAAAGCTTCGACGAACTGCGCTGGCCCTGTGGACCGCCACGCTTGGCGAGCGAACGGCCGCTGGGCTCTGCGCGGCGAGTTGGGGCTTACGGCTTACCTGTGGGGCTCAGGTATCATTGCCATTCTTATTCTTATTCTTGTTCTTATTCTTATTCTCTTTTCTTATTCTTATTCTTATCCTTATCCTTCTTATTGATCTTTTGATTAGTACTCTTCTTCTTCTTCGTTTTCTTCTTCTTCTTCTTATTGCTACCATAATTCTTCTTGCGGTTATGCCTACATTGAAACTGATGATTATTTTTTGAGGGTTCAGCAGGTTTGAGAAGAAAAAAGGCCTGCTGTGAGGGGGCGGTGATAATGGGAGTTGTCTCGGCTCCTGTGCTGGCTTGTCCTCCGAACCAGGGGCCCGCAACTGCCGCATGCCAGCGCGAGTGGCGCCAGAACCGGATGAAATCTTGGAGGACCATTGCTGGGCTTGTCAGCCCTTTTATGAGGTTTTGTACCTAAACCCCCAAACAATAGTCTGTCAGCTCCATGGCAACTCTGCTCTGCCCAGGGGCAGCAACTCTCTAAGCCCCACTTCGGAAAGGGTTGTCAAGTTACTCAAGCCAGCAATGACATGGCGTTTAGGTCCACACGTAGAAACGGCTGCGCAATGCTGTATTACATATGTCACGTGTTTAATGCAACGTGCGGTCGCGAAGGAATGAGTGGCGACCCCTAAGCCCAAATCCCCGCAATCTGCGCTCCAAGTTTGAAATGGGAGGCGCCGGCTGCAAATCGCCACGAATAAGGGATGCCTATGTGCCAATGTGGGTTGCCCAGGGCGCATATGAGGTGGTTTAGGGTTGGTGGGGGGTTCAAAACCGCATAAACATGGAGCTTTGAACATGTCGCATCGCGTGGCCAGCTTTTTTGTCGCAGGAGGCGATCAACGATGAGGACTTCGAAAACATGCCGATGTCTATCCCCCTCGGTTGCCTGGCTGCATGAAACGGGCTTGGGCTTGCATGGCTTGAGGCTTCTGTGCTCTGGGTTCTTGGTAACCAGTGCCTGAAAAAGCTCATGGCTTTGAAAAGAATTTGAAAAGAATTCAGGACAAGACTGCCATGAGTCTTTCATGTGCTCTTGTGCACAGGCTTGCGGCGATGTGTAGGTTCAGGCTTAGGCCCATTTGGAGAGCGACATGTAGCGGATGAGTGATGGTCATCTCTCCCCTTTCACTTCGTCTTGTGGTGGACTCTAGGGCAATCGGTGAGCCCCCGAAGACGTTCACAGCGTTCACAGGTTTGGGTTCGGAGGGCCTGGGGGTTTAAAGGGCCCCCTCCCCTTCCAGGGCTGCCTTTTTCTTGCCCAAGGCAAGGAGTCGATGGTGCCCATGGCCATGCGGCCGACCAGCACCACGGCGCCTGGGCTTTCGCCTGGATGTAGAGGCTTTGGGCTTCGTTTTCTGGGCTTTCGGTTCAGGGGGGGGGCTTTGGGATTCGGATTCGGATTCGGGATGTGGTGACTGCAAGATTCGAACCGCAACTGAGATCAAGTCCAAGTTCTGCTGGAACGACGTGACGATGACCGTTGGCGCGGCCAAGCAGGACCCGAGACCCCTCAACTTGCTCCCATCAGCCGAGGCCGAAACCAGATGGAGGGTCCAGAGGGTCCAGGGGGTGTTCTGGCTTGAAGCGTGAGGCAAATCCCAAAGCAGGAGAAGCAGATCCTGAGCGGCATCTCCGGCAGCCTTGAGATGGGTGAGCTCTGCGCACTCATGGGACCCTCGGGCACCCCGGCCGCCGGAAGGGCTTCAGCGGTTTTCTGGCATTTCGAGGGGGTGAGGGTTTGGGATGGGTTTGGGGGCTTCAGAGGTTTAGGGAGCAGGGTGGGGTTGAAAAATCCCGGAGGTGCAGGCAAGACCTCCCTGCTGAATGTCCTGGCGGGCCGCATCAGGACGTCATCCCTGAAAAGTTTTTAGAGGAATTGAATAAGGCAGGTAGATGAGGATCTAGGCATCTGAGGCGGTTCCTGGCGGCGAGGGTGTAGCACTCCAGGTTTGGGAGTGGGTGACGCCATGAACATGGACAACATCCGAAAAAGTCACTGCTTCATTTGAGCACTCACTTAGTTGATAGTGTGAGAGTTTGTCATTACCAGGACCAACCGGAGGCAACGGGTAGATGGCGACATCACGTGCCCCGGTGACACAGTTGGGTGGCCGCGACATTTTCCTTCCTGCTTCCTAAATACGTCTTGGCAACATGGCGTTTGCAATGCTGCAGGTCTCCATGAGTCCACACAGAATCCTTTAGGACGTCCTTCAGACATGGCTGTGACTGTGAAGGCTGGACGGGCAGCCCATCACGGGAGCCAATCTGCGAAAGCGACCCTTGGCTGTAGCATGTCGCGAAATCGACTTTGTGCTTGCTTGTAGCACTCCACACCCGTGATCCCGCAGAGTTCTGAAACATCGTAAAGTAGTAAAGAACATAGTACCGCACCACCCTGTTGCAGGGGTCCAGGCTCCCAAATGCATCCCAGACATGCACAAGGATTCCTCGCCATTTCAACGAGAGCTTGATGATACTATACCGCGCTGCCAGGAGTTGCCTATGTCATGCAGCAGGACATCCTGTGCCCGACGCAAACTGCTGCCTGGCTGCTCAAGTTGGTAGCCAAGGTATGCAATCGCCCCACACAACTCCCAAGCACCAACACAGCCACAGCGCCTTCTGAAAAGGGTCTGGGCGCAAGAGGCACAAACCCTAGCACTTAACCCTAAGCTTACCCTAAACCTTCGGGTTGAACTGAAATTCAATAAACCCAAGCCGCCTAAACCCTAAACGGCCTCAAAAGAGGTGCGGGAGTCGCTGATGTTTTCCGCGAACCTCCGGCTACCGCGGTCGTTTTCGGCCAAGGCGCTTCTTCGTGGTTCCTCTTCGGCTTGCGGGAATTGAGGGCTTGGAGGTGAGGGGGTAGAGTTTAAGGTTCCTGTTTTACAGCTTTGTGAGGCCTCGGCCGCCTGTGGATAGTGCACGATTCCGGGAACACCAAAAAGCTTAATCTCATGAGACTCCAAAGCCAATCTCATGAGACTCCAAAGCCCAAAAACTTTCAAGCCCTATAGACCAAACCCTGACCATAAACCCTAAATCCGTCCCATCATCGTGGCTTCACGGGACTAGGCAGGAGCACTCTCTTCCATTAGGCCTACAATTGCAAAGCTAGGCGCGTTCTTGTCTACATGCGAGTAAGTGGTGTTCAAGGGACATAATGTGCCGTGTACACTCTCCCGAAACAAATTCCTGACATGCACTGGATGCAACGCTCCGCTTGCAACAATATCTCATTGGCCAGCAGTGCTTGTGAGTGTTGCAGTCAGGGGCTTTCTGAGGCATTGGGGTTTTTGTGTGTTAGTGTTAGTCCAGCAGAGCAAGCTCCTCCGGCCACTCTCCAGAAGTCCGATTGTTTGTACTCTGGTCGACGACGCGGCCTTTGCCGCAAGAGTTGAGGGTTTCGCTGCGTCGGTGCCGTAGCTTCGTCCAAAGATGTGTCCGAAGCCATAAACCCACAAAGCCCTACAAACCCTAAAGCCCCAGAACCGGCCTAGGGCTAGCAACATCTTCTTTCCTCGGCTCCTGCAAAAGCTGCGCTGCTTCAACCTGGTTCAAGGTCTTTTTGGGTGTCTTGAGCCTGAGCCGAAAACCCCTATGAAACCCACAAGCACCCACAAGACCCGCCCATAGGCCCAATAATAACCTTAAGCCAACAACCCCCCCCCCCTCCGCACTGAGCCCAAAGCCATGAACCCGCGACTTCCTCTGCAGGAGAAGGGCGGTATGGTGGACCAGATGATCACCGAGCTTGGGCTGGCCCATCTCGCCGATTTAGGGGGCTTAGGCTTTATGTAGGGTTTTTGGGGGGGGGGGGGGGGGCTTGTCTGGATTTTGGTGGTAGATGTGTTGCACAATATTGCAAGTATTGCGGACCTTCGGTTCGGGACGGGATATCCTAACTCAGGGGGTGAAGGGTTGAAGTAAGGGCTCTGCAGGTGCGGTTTAGGTCCCCCCCGCAACCCTTCAGGGGTGTCCGGGGGACTCGGCTCAGGGATGCGAACGAAAGGTCTGTAATGGTTTTTTCGGGGGTCTGGGCTTCTGGTGTGCTTTCTCCATGCCCTCTCAGTGAGCCAGGCGAAGTGCGCGAACACGTACATCGGACGCCCGGCGGCACGAGAGCGGGTCTCGAATTCGAAGAAATCAAGCTTTAGGATGCACGGTTTCGGGAAAATGAGAAGTGCAATTTTAAGAGCTTCGAATATGAACCATCCTGAAGCCCCGAAACCCCACACCATGAGCAGGAAAGTTTGAGAGCGAGCTTTGATGATTGAAAGGAGCCCCCAAACTCGAAAGCTTCACAGAAATGCCGGTACTACTGGGTTTGTGTAGGGCTTACACGGATTTAATGGAGTTTCCAAGGGGAGCGTCTGCCCCTTGTCGGAACTTGCAGGGGATGACCTCATCCGTGGCATCTCCGGTGGAGAGAAGAAGCGCACCTGCGTGGCGATCGAGCTGATCGTGCCGCTCGGATGGCGCTGAGCTCCGGGGCCCCAACATCCTCCGAGACGCCGTCCTAGGACCCCGGACATTGCACGCTTTCATCTAGTCCGCTTTTACCGCCATTACCCCCACATGATGAACCCATTACGTGCAAGGAGCGAGTCCCCACCTGAAACTGTCCCAACTTTGGAGCCAGAACTCCGAACCCCCCCAAAGACCCGTCAAGCTTCCCCCCTGCAAGATCCCACACCCCTTAACCCCCCCACAATTGTCTCTTATCGGAGGCAGCCGAAGCTCGTGTTCCTGGACGAGCCGACGACCGGCCTGGACTCCTTCGCTGTGCCCGGGCTGCGAGGAGAGATGTGTCCTCTAGAGTTTTTGGGGTTCATGGTCGAAAGGACTTTGGGTTGGCCTAGGATTACATGACTATTCCATGGCCTCAGTCAGTCCCCGGTTTTGCCTTTGCAAACGATACGTCTTTGAAGCAGCACACAAAACCGCCAGCGCTCCGTTTGCGGCACGTCCTCGGCCCTGCAGATGGCCAGCCAGATCACGGTTTTGGGGTCGTAGCGTTTAACGTAGCGTTTAAGGGTTTAAGGTCCGAGAGCAGTTTAGGGCCTCAGGGTTGAATGGCGCAAGGGTCCTTAGGTTCTTAGGGTTCAGCTCGTCGTCGCCCTTCTGCAGCCTCCGAGCTCGCGGCGCTCATGCTGCGTGTCTGGAAGGCCTCGGGGGAAGAGCTGCTTTCCATGCCCCCGGCCGAGGCGGGCACCGTGCGCACCCTGAAGCAACGCTTGAGCCCGCTGTGTGGGGCGAGCCGCTTCAGGCAGAGGCTGCTGTGCGAGGGCCGAAATTTGGAGGAAGATGTCAGCTTCACTGCGCCTCTTGATTTGCAACTGGTGGTGCTGCCCTTCTGCAGTACCACCGAAGAAGAGGTGGACAACTTGATAGACCTTGTCATCTACGGCAGCCTGCACGACGTTGAGAGTGTCCTGCAGCGGCCCCAGGATCCCAATCTGGTGCCGGATGGCTATTTCGAGCGGCCCGTGTGGTTCGCCGCCGCCTCTGGCCAAGTGGAAGTCCTCCGGGTGCTGCTGGAGGCGAACGCCGAAGTGGGGCCGCGCGAGAGACCCCTCCTGGCAGCGGCTGCGGCTGGCCACGTCGGCGCCGTGCGCTTGCTGCTGGAAGCCGGCGCCCGACATGAGGCCGAGGCCGATGATAACGAGGCCATGCAGCAAGCTTCGGAGATGGGCCACCTCGAGGTTGTCCGCTTGCTGTTGGAGGCCGGCTTTGACAAGGGCAGTCCCGGCAGCACTGGCAAAACTCCCAGTCAGATTGCTGCTCAGAAAGGCCACATCGAAATCGTCCGTTTGCTGTCGGCCGACGATGCTCTCAGTGCACTGGCGCCGGCAAAAAGCTTGAGATCGGAGTCGTGCCATCTTGCAGCTGCCAAGTGTTCTTTCTCAAGGGTTCCATACACGCAAGGGGCGTGCAAGCCAGAACTCATGGACACTCGTAGCGCGACCTGGGCCAGAGCCTTGGGCCTATAGACACTTCAATCGCCTGTCAAGGGAAGATACTGACCCGAATGCCACGTACAAGGCCCATGAAGCCTTATAAGTAACGCCCGATGCATCCGACAACTTTCGGAGAATCCCCAGCCCAGGCGCAGACCGTGATCCAGAAGCTGAGGACTTTGTCCTCGCGGGAAGGCTGCAATGTACTTTGCACGATCCATCAGCCGCCCGGCCTCTTCTCTTCAGGGGTGGGGGTGGGTGGGGGTTGCCTCTAGGGTCTTGAGCCTTAGACCCCAAGCCCTCAACCCTGAAGTGTAAACCTTTAAACTTTAACCTTTCTTTCGGAACCTTAAACCCGAAGCCCTGGTCCCAGAGCTCTCGTCTGTGGGCTTCAGGCCCCATGGGCCATCCCTCTCGGCCTCAACCCTTGAACACGGGCCCTCTTCGTGCAGCGTCTTGAGGCCGTCCTCGGAGGTCTTCCACCTCTTCAACAAGGCGGGCTCCGCGTGTGGAGAGTCGAGGCCGAGTTAGTCCGAAGGCCTCCAACAGGTAGCGCTCGTGCTAGACCCGCTTGATTACTCCCGAACCCCTCCTGGACCAGCCTTTCCAGGTGATGCTGATCCACTCAGGCAGCGAGCCGTGGCTTGCTTTGGGGGGGGGGGGGGGTCTAGGTTTGTCTTGGGATACTGTTGGCTTTCGGATTGTATGCCCTACATCCCACACCCTGAAGCATGTGTGCTGATCAACCTTATAGGCACCCTCTCTCATAGACGATAAAAAGGCCCTCGAAGGCCCATTGTTGGTTGCAGACCGTGCCTAGACACCCCAAACACAAATGCCACTCCATCCCCCCCCCCTCCCCCACAAGGCTTGCAAACAAAATGCAAACGTCGCCGAAACCCTTCGGATCCTAACGCCCCCCTACACTCTAGAAGCCTTTAGATTCGCCCCTGTTAAGACCAGAGGCCCTGCCTCAATTCCCCTGGTGCCAATTTTGACCCTTGCCCAACGTCCTTCGGGTTAAGCCTTTGCATCCCCAGCCCCTCAAAAGAGTGCCTAGAGACCCTACATAAACCCTGACCCCCCGAACCCTGAACCCTGAACCCTAAAACCTAACAACCCTGAACCCGAAACACCGAACCCCTGAACCCTAACCCCCCCCCCCCCCCCCCCCCCCCCCAACAACAAAAACCTCGAAAGCCCTGGGAGGCCGGACCTTTTTCTTCGGCATGGTCCAGAACCTCTCGCGAGAGCTTGCGGGACGCGGGGCCTTCGATAAAGGGCTCTTTTAGGGTTTCATTGGGGACCATAAGGCTCAGGGTTTAGCAGGTTTAGGGGCCCTCCGGGGGGGAGGGGGATCCGGAGGACCTTTTTCTCCTGCTTAGACTTTGGCCTCAGTTTGTTGGGGTCTTTGGGTCTTTGTTTAGGGTGGTTGAGGGTCCCGTGATTGTCCGAGATCAGTTGAGGAGGTGGCCGCACCGGAATTCCCAAATCCCAGAACCCTCACCACCTCAACCCCAAGGGTCAAACTCAAAACCGAGGAGCTGGGCAGCCATGTCCTGCGGAGTACAACCTCGCCGACCACGTGCCCAAGCTGTGAGGGACCCCAAAAGCCTGAACCCTAATCGCCTTAATCCCTTCTGTTCTGGGTGCTCTCATGAGTATGCGGAGACATGGGCGTTGATCTGAGTTTCGGGTCCTTGCTGGGTCTCCTTTAGACTTATCTTCCCTTTTGGCTAGGAGGGGGCCCCAAGTTTAGCTGAAGAGGGTGTCTTCTCCAGTCCCCAGCACCATGGGCTTCCACTGAACTGGCTTCGGCGAGCCGCTCTTCGTGAGAAGCTCCCATCGTCTCGAGCACATCATGCGACAGTACAAGCGCGTCATGACATTGTTGATGAGAGCGACCTCGCTTGGCAGTGGCTTTTTGTCGTGTCTGAATATCAGCGGTGTACTGCATCAAGCTGTCCACATATCGCCAAGGGAAACCTGCGTAGACCCTCGATGTGTTAATTTATGTCAATTTGGTATGTCCAGCTTGTTTGATGGCCATTAACGTGGTATTGAGTGTCATGAGAGTTTGTAGTGATAAGCCGCAGCTGCGGGGATAGAACACGGTGTTTCCCTGCTTCGCAACTGTCTCACTACGCCGGTAGGCCGTAGGGCAAGTGAAAGGGCTTGGCAGGTTGGCGAACCCTCAACCCTCAACCTGGTTGTAGGGAGCTCTGATGCAGCTCCTGAGGCCTCGTTGCCCCAAAGACGATTGGCCCGCACGACAGTCTTGCCTGCAAGGTAATGTTCCTCCTACAGAGGGAGTCGGAGTCGTCGCTGCAACTTATCCAGAGCAGCTTTACATCGAAATCCCAGGCCAGGGCCTGTACACACACTCGCAAGCGGCAATCCGACCCAATCCCTCCTTCCGCGGTCCTGCAGGAGTCAGAGGACGACGAGCCTGTCACGACCGTGACCCGGCTCCCCAGAACTAGGGTCCTGGGTCTGGGTGGCTCGGTGGGTGTTGAGGGCGGCATTGGGGAGGGTGTTAGGGGTTTCATTTGGGAAACTAGTTAAAATTCAGGGTTCAAGATTTACAAGTTACGCTTCATGGTTCAGGGTTTGGGGTGTATAGAAGTTGTACAAGGTTTCTGTCCAAGGTGGTTTTCGGCGGGTGTTGGGTGTTATTTTTTCCTTGTGCTTCGCACAAGCAACATTCGGGCCTTTTTGGGACCTTCGAAAGAAGCGTTTTATGTGAGATTGGTGCAGAGCGGTTTCCCTACGGTAGCCCAGTAGTTCAAGGTTCAAGGAACCTTAGGAAGCAGGTTTTGGGCAAGGTCAGAGGCCACGTACCCTAAGTTAGGGCTGTCCTAATCATGACCTCACTTCGGTTCGTTCCTTTCGAAACCCAAGCCCCACACCCTGAACCGCCCAAACCTACCTCTAGGATGGTTTCGGGTTGACCCGCACACGATTCAAGGGCTCAGGGTTGGAGGGCCCTCATTGGAAATGAAGGGGGCTCCAGCTCTGTGTGTAGGGGGTCCCGAAACCCTAGAATCCCTGAATTTAAAAGCGCCTGTGAAGCCCGACAAGCCGTAAGAATCGAGGAGAAGAGCCGGATCATCGCGAAGGGAAAGACTGCAGGCTTCTGCTGGCAGCTGTGGGCGCTGACGAAGCGGCTGAGACCGTTGATTCAAAAGGGAGCTTTGGGGTCGGATTCGGCGGTTGAGGGCTTGGGGCTTCGGGGCGAACCTGAATGCCTTTGCTACCAAACAAGAGCACACAGCATATATTCATGTTCTGGAGTTTGCTTCGGTGGACCGGCGTGCTCGTACTGCTTGTCCCGAGCCGTCTCCAAAGCATGCGAGAACAAGATCCCGGCTGGCACTACTCCTTGGCAAAGGCTCCCAGAAGAGAAGGCTTGTCTTTCATAACCGACCAGCACGTCTAACATTCAAGAGTTCAAGGCCTAAGTAAGGACTCACCGTCGCTAGCAGAACGACATTGCCTGCCAACATCCTGACGCCACCTTGAGGTAGTTCGGCGAGACCTCCTCGGCCCTAGTCCCTCATGCCCCTCAAATAAAAGACTGCCTAAACCCTAAACCCCGAAAACCCTACAAACCCTGTAGACCCGATAAACCCTATAAACCCTACAAACCCCATAACGATCCATAAAGCCTGAACACCTAACGAGCCCTAAACACCTCCTTAGAGAGGCCCCTGAATCGATCTTGTCGCTCCGAGGCGCGAGGCCCAGGGTGTGTGGCGCAATGTTCCCGGGCTCATCGCGTGACCTGTCAGCCTCCATGTGGAGGGTTCAGGATTTAGCGTTTAGGGTTTAGGGTTCAGGGGTCAGCAGCTTTAGGAGGGTTCGGGTTGGTTTAGGGCTGGCTTCTCAGGGGAGTGGAATGCCTTTTCGGGGGTTTTCAGCTGGAGTTTCGAGCCGCGGTTTTACATGATTGTTGAACACGAATCCTAGAACCCTCAATCCAAGAAGTGACCCAATAAAGACACCCGCAAGCCTTGATATTGATGTTCCCAGGTCGTTAGTCATGCCTGCCCTGCTCAACGTGTGCCTTGGCGGGGTTTAGGGTTGGGCCATGCCAGGCAGGCAAGCCCGGAGCCCGGGAACGACTTGACTTGTTGCTTGTTGGGGGGGGGGGCGGGGGGCTGGTAAGTGTTGCGATCTCCCTCGCGACATTGCGTGTGTGCATACATATATATAGATGTATATCTATGATCCGGGTGCGGCTGGCCCACCCCCCCCCCCACCCCAATGGTTCCCCCCTCCCCTGTGGTGTGGTTGTGGGTTGCTTTTAGGGTTTAGGGTATTAGGGTTTCAGAGTCGAGGGTTTATGGGTTCGGGTTCTGGGTTTAGGGTTTAGGGTTTCCCAACCCGCAACCCTAAACCCCATAGAGAATCGGGTTTAGGGTTTAGGGTTTGCTAAACGTTCCGCGCGCACCACCACGCAGGCGTTTTTTGTGGTGCGGGCAAGTGACCCGCCCGACCACATCTCAACCTTGTCGGGTTTAGGGGGATTATTCGATTTGAGTTTAATCTGATCACCCCTTCACCGAAACTGTTGTAGCATCAACCGAACAATATCAAACCCTGGGTGCCCCCCACGAAGGCCTCCCACACCAAAATAGATCGTGACACCCCTTTTTGTAAAGTATTGCGCCGCTGTGGTGTTGTGCTTTTCCCATTTGGAGTACACAGTGCCTTGCTTTGAACATGTGGGAAATTAGCAGATGCCTTTCCATCAAGTCCGTGCGTGTCGCCGAGTCATTCCCGTTCCACGTCGGAAAGCGTGGGGTTAGGTTTGGGTAAATTAAGGGTTTAGGTTTGGGTGAATTAAGAACACCCCCTCCCCACCCGGAAGCTCGAAAACCCCTCCGTGCCCAGGTTGTTTGCCCTGATCTTCTTCCAGGTCGGGGACGTGACGGCGTCAGGTTACACCGCGATGGCACACTTTGGCGGCCTCTTCCAGGCGGGTGGAGGGTGGAGTTTTGAGGCCTCACATCGTCCACTCATAAATCATGCCGAAACTCCGAGCCAAGGCATCTTAAAAACCCTCTGCTGAAGCTAGTCCTGAGTTCCCGCAGTTCCCGCATTCGGGAACCCTGTCAGAATGAGCTTGCCGATTACGCAACTGAACGCACATGGCGAACCATTCCTGCTGCTTCCAAATTCCAGCCCTAAGTCCCAAACTCAGAACTTCAAAACCCGGAAGCCTCGAGCCGGATGACTGCAGGTAGCCATTGGCGGCATTTTCGGCATTGCCCAGCCGCTTCTCCTCCGATTCCCACTGGAAACTCGGCATGCAGCCATGTGGCGTAGTCAGTGCTCAGGGGTTTCTGTTGTGAGTCGAGAGTCGCTTCTATAAAGTTTTAAATTCTCGGTTCATCGTTCGAGGCTTTCGGTTCCTCATGTCAGCACAGTTGCCAAGCATCCCCTCATGGCCAGTTCTCTTGGCCGTGGACAGTGTGCCCCAAAAGGGGGACATGACTTGCCTTGTGCGGTGTTCGTTCTGATGGCTCGGGCAGTGGGGCGTGGTGTGATTGGATTGTTTCACGATGACTGTCGCCTTACGCTGGTATCTGATGTCTATGAATGAAACATAGCCTTTTGTGCATGCACTTGATTCAGGCTGCTGGCTTAGCTTGACACGGGCATTTTTCCTGGGCCTTCAGCCGTGGCAGTCGCAAAATTGAAGGGAGTCGGGATCCTACGGAGCCACTCCGAGGTAAGTCCCTTCTGCACGCTCTATGGGTCTGAAGCCCCACTAGTAGCAATGGCCCTATTGGGGCCCTGTCCTGTGACATCGATGATGCTGAGTGATGAGGATCTTGGCGGGCCCCAAAACCCTTAGGTCCCAGACCTAACCCCCGAAGCGCTGCACCGCGAGACCCTTTAGACCCCTAGAAAGCCCAGAACCCTCTCAACCCTGGAAGCCTTTTCTTGAATTGAACCCTATGAAGCCCCAGAAAGACCACAAGGGGCCCTGCAGGATCGGGGAATCTTCTTGCGTGAGTACGCGACGCAAACCTATGGCCGGCTTGGCTGCAAGGGGTATTGTGGGGGGGGGTTCAGGGGTTGCTTGGCGTGTAGAGAAGAGGGCGGTTATGCGGTGTCTCGTAGGGGTTTCGGGTTTTTGGGGTTTAGGGGTGGTGCTGAGCCCTTCTGCTGGAAGCTTAGGTGCCGTGCCTTACTTCCTCTCCAAGACCTTGGTCGAACTGCCGCAGTCGCTCCTGAACGCGACGATCTCCTGGGCCAGCACCTACTGGATCATGGGCCTCCACGGCCCCTCGTGCTTGAGAGGGGTGGGGGAGTGAGTAAGGCACGATTCTCTCGGGGTTATGGGAATCCCCTCCTCCCCTCCCTCAGATTTTAGGTCGGTTGCCCTGAGCAAGCTGCCAAGCCTAGGCTTCGGAGTTGTTGATGTGGCATCATCTGAGGCAACTTTCTGTTCTTCGTCCTCATCTTCTGGCGACCCTCCTTGATGCTATGGGGTCTAGGGCCGTGGGGGTTCGCATCATGTGGCTGATTGACTTGATGACGTTTTCTTCTGAAGTGGTTTGGCAGGCAGGGCGTGCAAGAACCGGAGGAGCGGTTTGGACTGTTTGGGGCTTAGGATTCCGATCGGTTAAAGTCGACGAGGCTCACCGGCACGGCAGCCGCGTCCACAGCGCTGCTCGTGGGCTCGTTGGCCACCAACGCGGAGGCGGCGTTTATAGTTGCGCTGCACGGTTGTGGGGTGGTTGGGTTGTAGGCTTTCGTGTTGCTCCACGGCTGCTCCACAAAGTCTAAGCCTCAGAGAAGCTACCCCCCCCCCCGCCCCACCCACGGCCTGCTTTTGAAGGTTCGCACGCCGCGCAGATCATAGTAAGTCAGAGTATATTCCTGTATATATTCCTCGTAGGTCAGGGTAGCAAAAAGGATGCCTGAAGCCCTTGTATTTCATGATGCCCCCAACCTTGCTGATTTGCAAGAGCTGCGCTCTCCCGACCCCCCCAAGACTCAACAGCCCCCAAGTCCTTTACACCCCTAGAAACTGCACGCCCTCTGAGTTCTGAGAGGTGGCGATGCAAGCCGCCCCGGCGATTTTCGTTCCCCAGCTCCTTTTTGCAGGGCGACCTGACCGCCTTGGTGGGGAGTTCAGGGCCCGTGGGATAAGGCTTAGGGGCCTTACACACGTTTGTGGCATCTGCAGGCTTTTCGGGGGCACCTTTCTCCTCTTCTTGGGGGGCTCGGTTCCCTGAAGCTGTCTTAAACACAAACGAGGGTGACCGCCGGAGAGGAGCACCCAACAAAAACTCCCCGAACCCCAAAAGCTTCGACCCTGAATCTGAAGCCTCCGCGAGGTTTTTCATCCAGACCGAGCAGATTCCGGTGTGGTTGCGCTGGTCGCAGTGGCTCTGCCGCTGGCACGCATAGCGGGCGCACACAGCCCGAAGTCCCCATTCACAGTTCAGGGCTTGAGGGATTGCTTTGGGGCGAAGCCCTTTACTTGAACTCGGAATAGGTCATCAGAGTTTTGAGACAGTTGCAGGTCTTGTGAACTGGAGCTTCAAGGACACACCTGAAGGGAAGCTGAGGGGCGTTTGGGCTAGGGCCTAGGGTTGCGGAGCCGAGTTCCTCGTCCCTTCAGGCTCCCTGAAGTACGGCGTCAATCTGTACCTTCTGAATGAGTTCTCCGCGGAGACGACGCAGGAGTCGGGGGTTCCCGTTCCTGGCTTTAGCAGGCATTGTTGCTTGTCCTTTCCCCGAAAGCAGCATACCCTGAAAGGCCCTGGCCTTAATCGGCACCGGGTGGGGCTTTGCAGACTCCAGGGGTCCGATGTCTCTTGAGATGAATGCCTTTCTCCCAACAGGCCAAGCGCTACGTCATCAAACCCCGAAGGCCGGAACCCTCCAAACCTCCTCAATTAACCTAGAGTAACCCCAAAACCCAAAACCCAAAACCCTAAACCCTAAACCCTAAAGCCCTAAATGCCTACAGGACTGGCCGCAAGTAGCCAAAGAGCCGCTCGGAGCCAGCAAAGGGCAGTTGAAGGGACGGCTTCAGGGTTAAAGGGCTTCAGGGATTCAGAGGTGTAGGGGGTTTTCAGGGATTTAGAGGGGTCTTTAGGGGTTTTCAGGTGTAGGGGTTTTCAGGGATTCAGAGGTGTAGGGGTTTTCAGGGATTTAGAGGTGTAGGGGTTTTTTAGGGATGTAAAGGTGTAGGGGTTGTGGGGCTGAGGGATTGGGAGTTTAACAGGTTAAGAGGCTTTGGGTTTGGGGCTCTCATGTGTTGACCATAGGGGCATGATTGACATGATGGGCCCCTTCTTGTTTGCTAAAGGGCCCATACGACTTTCAACCCCCCGCCCTGCCCCAAACCCCGCAAAAGGACCTTAATGTAGTTAGTGAGATGGTTTCGGGCTCAGGGCTTCCAGGTGCCCTTGGGGCAAGCGTTGAGAAGCTTAGGCCCCGAAGGTGGTCGTGAGCGTCAGGGAAGGAAGTTTTCGAGGCTGAAAAGCCCGGGCCCCAAACCCTGAGTGGCGCTAAGGCCTCAGGGCCCGAACAAAAAACACCTAAAACGCTAAAAGGCCCTAAAACCCTGAAACCCCAAACCCAAAAGCCCAAAGCCCAAACTGTTACAGAATCCCCAACTTGGCTGTTGATCTCCGAGCCTAGCAGGACCGCCCAAGTCGCCTTCCTCGACGGCAACGGCGTGGCCGTGTGCTCAGAGGGTATAGGGCTTTGGGCTCTGGATTTTGGGTTGATACTTGTAACTTTAAGTTTGCAGGCTTTTGCGGGTAGAGCCCGTAGGAAGCGTATCAAAGGAAGGAGGGTACGAGTAGCTCAGCCTTGTCAACCCTCTTAAGCTAGTTAAGCCCTAAACCACGCCCAACCCCCCAGCCCAAAAAAACCTGAACCCTGAACGCCCGGCACCTGAACCCTAAACCCTAAACCCTAAACCCTAAACCCTAAACCCCAAACCCCAAACCCCAAACCCCAAACCCTAAACCCTAAACCCTAAACCCTAAACCCTAAACCCTAAACCCTAAACCCTAAACCCTAACCCCCCTGAACCCTAAACCCCCTGAACCCTAAATCCCCTGAACCCTAAATCCCTGAACCCTAAACCCCCTGAACCGCCCCTAACCTCTGCCTGGCCCAACCCCAGACCTTGCTGGCACCTCCCCGAAACTGCCTCTTGACTCTCGGATCCAACGAACGTCATGAAACCTGAATTCGTTTTTAGAAGTGAACTGTTGTCTGAGTTTAGGCCTAAACCCTAAAAGGAATAGGTTTGGGTGGCTTTGCAGCCTTGGACGGCGTGGGGTGGGAGAAAAGTGTTAGATGGCCCTCCGCAATCGGGCCAAAGCTGATCTTCGCACCTCACGAAGCTTTCGAGCTTGTTCCGAAACCTCACCTTCACAGCATCTACGCCCTATCACAGCAAACCCTAAACCCTAAACCCTAAACCCTAAACCCTATACCCTAAACCCTAAACCCTACACCCTAAACCCGAAACCCTAAACCCTAAACCCGAAACCCCCTGAACCCTGAACCCTGAACCCTAAACCCTAAACCCGAAACCCCCTGAACCCTGAACCCTGAACCCTGATCCCCGAACCCTGAACCCTGAACCCCCCACCCCCCAAAGCCTGAAACCCTAAACCCCTGAGGAGCCGGATCTGGCGTGGATGTACATCGGCGTGCTGCTGGCCATCACGGTGGTGGTGCCGAAGCTTCAAGGGGTGGAGGAGGTTCAGGGGTTGCTCGGGTTGCTAGGGTTCTTGGGGTTGTTGGGTTGTTGGGTTGTTGGGTTGTTGGGTTGTTGGGCTGTTGCAGACACTATAGTAGGGCCCTCAACCTTGAACTCTCGTCTTCTGGAGCCTGGTTTTCTTGGCCTTGCCTCAGGACCCTCTCCGCCAGCAGCCGTGTCATCCAGTTGCGTCCCTCCCAAACCCCCATCGCGTCAAGCGCTGAATGTGCACCCGCTGCCCCAAACCCAAGCCCCAAACCTTTTAAGCCCTCAATCCCGAAACCCCTTGCGAGCCGGAGCTGATCACCATGTTAGGGCTCAGGGTTTAGCGGTGCGGCTTTGAGGTCATTTGTTTTCCTCCGCTTGAATCCCCTAAAGGCCCTAAAGGCCCTAAACCCCGACCGACTTCCAGTCGGCTGCCTCATGTGCGGATTCTTTTGGAATCCGGGGCCCTTTGGGTGACCGCATCAACTCCAACACAGGCATGAAAAACTGCCTGGATTCTCCCATCCCCTCCTGGGCCCCTAAACCCTAAACCCATGCAGCCAAGGTGAGGCTTCTGTCCATTCTGTTTCTGGTTCTACGGGCCAGCCACTGAAGAGACTCACTCGCGGCCTTTCCTGAGTGCAGGGTCCCGTGGAAGTGGGGGCCCGGGCTTGAGGGTTTCTTTGGCTTTGGCTTTGAGTGTTTTTTGTTTCTCGGCAACGTTACAGCAGGACTCCCGCGGCAGCGGTGGCCAGACCTTACAGTAAGAAGGGAGGACAGGTGGGATGCTGCATGGTGCCATTGGCTCATTCTACAGAATCATACTATATGCATTGTATTACTCTGCATCATATAGCCAAAGGGACTGCTTCGAAGGTCGTCCAATGCTGCATTGACAGGTTTCCTCCCTCAAGACTCAAGACTCTTGTTGCGATGCCGTGTGAGCCTATGCCCTCGATTTCTCAGATGTGCCCGACACCATGAACTCTGAGAACACGCCTCAAGGCTACAGCCCGAAACCTCGGAGCCCAGAACACAAAGCACTAGGATGGAGATGTCAACGTCTCAAACAAAGCCCTCCCCAAGCCCCCCCAAAAATGAAAATCTAGGGCTGTCACTGCCTCCCGGGCCGAAGCAATAGCTTCCTACCTCCTGCTTCGGGTTTCGGCTAGTGGGTTGTGGGCAGTGTGTTGATGCAGAGAGTTCCTCAGTGCGAGCATCGCGGAGAGGTTACTCCGAACCCCCCAGCTCGAACCCGGGCATCTGTGGCTGGTGCGTATTGCACAGATCGGCGCGCCTGGGTAGTGTTAGGGTCCCTAGTTGCTGTCCCCAAAAGTTGGAAAAGGGAATCCCAAAAAGGGACTGACATTTAGCACACTATCCATGTGCTGTGTACATGGAATTCGAGACCTGCGTATGGAACTGCGCGAAGCGCAGCATTGCATGTCTCCCTGTGTGGAGGTCGAGCAGGTGCAGGCTGCTTGGATTGCAGCGCCCGCAAGAACCTCAAGCCGTCCGTCGTTGAGGGCCTATGTAGGAAAGAGCATGCAATCTTCGGCTACAAGTAGCAGAGGCGCGAAACGTTGCCTTACAATCAGTACAATGAGCCGCGAACAGCAGCATGAGCGATAGCAGCAGCAGAATGTCGCCCTAGCGCCGTATCACAACATGTGAGAGCGAAATGCTGACTGGGCCTGTCTGTGGGAGGAGCTAGACGCGAACCCGAAGCCCTTAAAAAAAGGCACCATCTAAGAATCTAGCGTGTTGGGGCCCCCGTTGAGATACTTGTTTGTTAGCTGTAGACCCATCGCTGCATTCACCATCGCACCACCAAAGGACGGCTTTACATTCCACGGCCGAAGGCCAGTTGTAGAGCCGCCACGAATTGCAAGCTGGCACTCCGACGGTTCAGCGCTGAGGGTTTTAGGGTTTAGGGTTTAGGGTTTAGGATTTAGGGTTTAGGGTTTAGGGTTTAGGGTCCAATCTCCTGAGCTCAGGTTCACAACCAGCTTTCTTCTAATGTAATGGGG